GTGTGGTACTGAGCCACCTGCCAGGTTAAATCACAACAGTGTCACTTGGTGTTATAGACTCCCTTTGCATATTACCACATACTGTTTGATTTTTGTGGATTGTCTGCTTTTAATGGAAAAACCTAATTCCACAAAGCAGAAACAATGGACTGGACCCTGGATAACATGAGAAGGAATGCCATCTTTTCAGACGATGCATTCTCACATCTGCCTTTTTAAAGAGAGGAGGAAGAAAGAAGTAGACTTATTTAGACACCAACTCCTTCAACTTCCACTTTCTCATATGCAGATTTCATCACAGCTATAGGAGTATGAAAGACTACTGCAAGCCATGTAACCTGGTGGTGCCAGATGTCACAGCATTGTGCCATGCAGAGAACATAACAAAAGGATTCATAGCCATCAAAACTTTTTACTTAAGGTCTTGGTTAAAAGTAAACCTCCACCTTTTAACTTCTCTTTTGCTGTCTAGCTGCAAGTGTAGGGATTTTAATGCCACATCTCTGGGGCTTGGGGGACAAGAGGGACACTCCACCTTCAACCTGATAGAGGAGAAGGTTCTGCTTTGGGTTCAGTTACCATTCCTCAAGTCTGATTTATGAGACATCACCAACATCTCCTGACCCTCCTGGCTCAATCCATTCACTGCACTTACTCAGACTTCAGAAAAACCTCTTTTCCCTCTATTCTTAATGCTAAGTTTGCTCAGAAACTGCTTTTGACTGAAGCATTTTAGCACTGCAATTAAAAAAAATAAAATAAAAATCACTGTCTCTGGTTTTAGCTGGGTCTCCATTAGACCTCTGAATTTATTTTGTTCAACAGATTAAAACAGTCTATTAGAGTAGATTTCATGTGCCAAACTGTCAGTTGATTTCCACGACTGTCACACACATCCTCCCACCACCCTAGCGGCTGCTAAATCACATTAACATGCTATCAGATTTTTGCATTGCAGCAGCTGTTACTCTCTTATTAGGGAGTCTACAGAGATGATCCTTCAGACAAAATGGAGCTAAACCTTGTGGTTATTGTGGCTGGAAGGATGCAGGATTAAAAGTGCCTGAGGGAAGCCTGCAAGTATGATCCAGAGGTCTTTCAGAAGAGGCATCTGTTATTTAAAGTTGCAGCTCAGGGGAAAAAAATGCAAAATAATAATAATAAAGCTAACAAACTGACCCGCACTGCAAAGATGTGAGCTGTTCTCTGTTCCTTCAAAACGAAGCACTGGGAACAACAAATAACAGTGCTGGTTGTATTATGCTGCAGTGGAACATCTGTATGCCCATCCAACTGGCATCTGGACCCTTGGTCTGTATACTGCATTCTCTTCTTCTATTATATGATCTGGGTGAGTGCCCTAAGCTGCCTCTCTTTTTGCTCAACAGTAAAGTCAAGATAATTTGTTATGCTCCTAGTAGAACTGCATAACAGTTAAATGTTTCCAAACAAGTTCTCTCTTACTGGCTTCTCATAGGTCGATAACTCTCAGACTCAAAGTTGACTTAGCAAGCACCTCTGATGAAACAGCCTCTCACACTCATCTTTACTGTTAATTTGCTGCAACTATCACACTTTCAAATAGCAGCAGTTAACACCATTATGTGTTGAAAAAAAAAAAAGAAAAAAAAAATCAGGGGATGCAATGGTCTCTTTATCATTGTGCTGTGTTGAACAAAGACAGATTATCTGGTGATTAGGGGTTTGGAATATTAATTAAACATCAAGGCTTTCAAATTAGAATCCCAGATGTTTGATCATTATGGTAATTCCCTGTTAACAAAATTCCCTGAAAAGCCTGAGACACATTCCTCTAATTCTCCAGTGGTGAAAGGTTGAGGACCCTTAGGCTATAGAGCACTGAGCTCCTCTGCATCAGTTATACAAAACAAGGTTGTTTTTGTTTTTTCTTATTTTAGGCAAAATGGAGCCATCTCATTTTGAAAACCTTCTGTTAAGGAAGCTCACAAGCAGCTGCCTAGGTAGATAAATGGTTTCTTTGCTAACACAGGCCCTCTCAAAACAAAGCACTTTACTCCTTGCACCAAGCTGCTTGCTCCGAGTAAACAGTCTCACCAGGATCTTTTCAGGGAGGGGCAGCAGGAGCAGCTGGACCTGCTGGGTCTCTTTCAAACACCACATCAGTGCATCCCGGTCTTCTACTTTAGGCACTGGAGTCAGATTATTGACCTCAGGCCTCAGCATCCACAGTACTGCCTCCAGGCCAGAGCTGCACCTACAGCCTTATCCTGCTAAGGTGAGAAGCTGAAGGAAATGCAATTCCTGCTCAGGAAATCATAAGGATTGTTGCTAGCTTTCATTTGTTTTTATGCATCTGTACCACCATACACTGTAGAGACAACTCTTCTCCTGAGCCTGTAAGCTGACCTAGTGGTTTGGTAGCAGCACCTAGTAACTGCAAACCTACAGATAAGAACGCAGATTGTTCTTATAAAAGAGTGAGTCCTATTAGTCACAGGCCACTCAAAGTGTTTGGATGTATATGTTAGCCAGCCAGCCTGCCTACCAGGCACGCTGTCCTCAGGAACATCATCCCCTCAGCAACCTCAGCACATTGTATTTTGTAATAAGTTATCTATTTAGGAATAACTGTAGTGACAACAACATTCCTTTCGCCTGGCAGTGATGTACTGGTATTCATTCTGACAGTAGGAGCTCCTACTGACATAAGAGTAAAATACAGATTCATACATACGCCCAGAGTAGCCTAAGAACTTCTCAGCAAGCAACAAAGTCAGAGAAACCGGCAGAAGATCCAGAATAGGACAAATATAATAGGACAAATCCATAATAGGACAAATATGTCCAAAATAGGACAAATAGCCTCAAGTTCAAGATCTCACATAATTCACTTAGAAACAGTTAAACTTAAGTGCAAGCTGACAGAAATTTCAAGTAGAAATTGTTCAAAATAATTTCACTGATTACTACATGTTAATTCTGCATACTCTGATTAAGAAGCCTTAATAGAGTACAGCTTCAGAGCAGGTATACTGTCAATCCTAACCAAGTGGGGAAGGTTCCTTCCCCAATTACGTTACAAAGAACACATATGCTACGTCAGGTACTGCTCCACAGAGGGTTACATTCTCTTACTGAAAAATTCTTTTATTCTTTTCCAGCAACCCTTTGTGCCCATACATGCCCCACGGAGTAGAAGTAATATTAGTTTGCAAAAACATAAATGGAAAGTAGCTTCCACAAACCTCCAAAATCCTCCCATAGCCTTTATTTTTAAAAAGCATAGTGCCTATGTACTGTAACGCAATGAAAAGCACAGCAATGACAGCAAAGCAGCAAGGTCCCAGGCTGCAGCAAGAGAGGATTTGCTCAAACGCAACAGTCGTGGGCACAGAAATAAGGGAAAGAAGCTGCTTACCTTCAGAAGTCCTCAGGTATGCAAGGCTCTCCAGTGAGATACCCTTGCCTCCACCACCAACCCTTAAATGAGGTCTGGGAAGGGGCGGATCCTGGCTACACCCCTTCTAGCCACACAGGGTCACTGCATACACCTGAGCTCTCCTGGGCTGGCCCTGCCCTCCCCCCAGGTGCTCAATCACTGGTTCAGACCCTGGTGTAGCATTTCTGCTACAGTACTAACAAAATAGAAGTCTGTACTCAAAAATATTTTTGCTATTCTAGGGATATCTAATCTAGAACCTAAGCAAGAACCCTGAAGATCTTCATGCTTTTCTAGCCTCTACAAGTTATTTCATTAACTATCAGTTTTTTTAATGAACACTCTACTGTAATTCCATAATTCTGGTCAGGAAATACCTAAACATATTTCCTCAGTTGATGGAGGAAAAGAAGAGGATCTTGAATGTTAACAGGTCTGTTTCTCATAGAGACAACATGTCTGACTTCTTGGATTTGGATCTTGCTGGGCCTCATAACAATACTGACTGTATTGAGAAACAATCGCTTACTCCAGAGAATTCTTAGACCTCTTGCTGTGAGAAGCTCTGTCTTTTCAATGGCTGTCAATGGTCCAGGCTTACATGACTGAATCTATCAGTAATTTATAGAGAACTACAAAGTAATGGAAATGAAGGAGGAATTATCTTTTTAATAGCACTGTACACCTCTGTAACAATGCACAGAATGCTGATGTAGAAAATAAAAATGGCTGGTTAGTAGTAGATACAAAAGAAGCTTGTTCTTAGTTTTCTCTTAACAAGAATATTCATTTGCAATCTAGCACTACATGAGGTCTTAGCATTGCCTTCAAGAGAAAAAGAAGCTGCTGTGGATGAAAGTATGAACGGTATGAAAGACAAGGCTGAGTACTGGTTTACCATTCCCTGCAGTCGCTGTGAGATCACATATAGTGAGACAAGTCCCAGCACTGAAACACTGTACTGAAATGTGCCAGGTGCTTACTTGGAAACAATACAGACTGTGAAGATAATATGTTCCCAAATGGCATTCAATGAACATGGATCAAGGTGTTCACCCAATAATTATCACAAATCATTGTACTTAGATGACTGCAACCCCTGCAATTTTCAGGTATGGCTCATAAATAAAGACCTATGATATAGGTTTGGCTTTACTATCAGCTGGAAATTAAGAGTCATTTTCAGCCTTGTTTGGGTATAATACACTCTGTGATTGACCAAATCTTTCCATTCACTGGGTCATTTAAATAATTGCCTACATCATAATCCCAAGAAGCCTGCAATACTGAATTTTGTTCTGTACAGTGTGGAACAAACAGCATTTCTAATGGAAAGTATATCTTCACATTTTTTAAGAAACATGGTAGTACATAATACTTTGAACTACTGATTTTGGCATTTAAGGTGGATGTCATTATCAGTTATGATTAAACATGCAAAAATGCACATTTCTAAGCCTTCTAAGGATTAGCTGAGCAACACAGGGCCTTATTGTACAGGCTGTATGGTTTCCCTCATCCCCTGACTACTTGCATCTCCTTACACCTTATATATAGGGTCATCTAAACAGATAAGAAATAAAATACATGAACACAACTGTTTTACAGGCTGAGGGAAATTAAAAAAAAATATTAGGAGAGCTCTTAGAAAGTAATCTATGAAAACTTCTTACTATATCATACCTTCTACTGCTAATTCCTTCCATCTTTCTTTGTTTGCTTGAATTATCTGCATCAAGTTGTCCCTAAAGCTTCTTAGGTCTACAGTTGCTAGGGAATTTTCTGTGTGAGCTGCTCCATCACTTGCTGTACTTCTAAAATTGTGTCGTCTTTGCGCATCAACATTGCTTACTGCTCCCAAACTATTCTGGCTGCAGAAAGAAAAAAAATCCTAAATTATATACAAAATAGAGCATATTCAAAAATACATAAACAGTTAATTTAAACCAAATTATTTAGGACTTGCATGTAATTACTATGTAGAGATGAGTGTCTTCACCAAAGAATGTCTAAGATACGGGATATTTCCACAACTCATGAAGTTGTAACCTGAGAATTATTCTTGCCAACCTTTTTCCAGGAAATCTTTGTAGAGAAAAAAATCAAAGTGACAGCTGAAAATACATTACTTGAATGTTGGATCCTGAAAGACAGTTTATGCAGTTATTTTGGAGTAGCTTCTTAGTTATGTTTTTAAACAGTGAATGGTATCTGGGGACTTACAGGAAAGATACATGATTGTTAATTGTTGTGGCATTTTAAAAAAAGCAAGACATGATAGGGTATGGCACATAAATGCATTTAATTCCAGCTGAAAATTCTCTTCATGTTACATGACTTTGTAGTCAAAGCAGGATGGAGTGGCAATAAAATGCAACCCTTCGAAACAATATGAAAGTGAAATACTAAGAACAATTACTATATTAACATTAATATTAATGTTAATATATTAACATTAATAAGAAAAAATTAGCTTTAGTCACTACTCAAATGCTACTGAATCTATTCTACAAGAAACATAAGATACAGGCCAAATAGATTCTTTAAATGTGAATATGCAGATACATGTCCAGGTGTAGTAACTCTCTTTTCTATTTTCATTTCCTTTTTTTTCTTCTTCTTCTTTTTTTAATGATTAAAAAAAACCTTATTTCTGCTTTTTCATGGGTAATCACACTGACCCATGACTGTTTTGTAGACACCTTTCTTCATGATGCAAAAATGAAAAGCTTGATAGAAAAAACCAACCAAACAAAAAAAACCAACAAGCATCTCATTTATAGTGTATTTAAATTTCACAAATGGAATATAAGCAGGGTCAATTCTGGCTCAAGTGTATATACAAAGTAATACTAGAATGGGAAAGTGAAGAAGGAAATTGACCTACAGCATCTTTATCAGGCAGTGTACTGGTAGGAAAAGTGGTACTGGCTCTAAATTAAAAGAAAGAGGGTTTAAGTTAGATATGAGGAAGAAATTCTTTACTTGGAAGGAGGTGGGGCACTGAAACAAGTTGTCCAAAGAAGCCTCCATCCTTGGAGACATACAAGGCCAGGTTAGATGGGGCTTTGAGCAACCTGGTCTACTGCAAAGTATTTCTGCCCATGGCATGAAGGTTGGAGCTGGATGGTCCTTAAGGTCCCTTCCAAGTCAAACCATTCTACGATTCTATGAATATATAACAAAAAAATCTCAGAAAAGGACTGAAGCTGTTTGCAGCACCTCCACTTCCAATTGTCTGTCAGAAATCAAAGAACTGTCAAAATTTTACTGAAAAAGTCTTGAGGATAAGAGAACAAAGATAACAAAGATAATAAAGAAAAAATGCTGTTTTTAGGTATGTGGTAGAAAAAGAACTTATATTTTATGTATGCTTTCTGTTCTTTTCTGTGGCTTTGCCTTTTTACATGCAAGTTCATCCACAATCAATGGAAGAATAACATACTGCAAATACAAGATAGTACCACATGATGGCAACACTGTATAGCTGTTCCTATTTCTTGTCCAACTGATGAAAGTACTACAATAATTCCGAGAAGGACATTATGTTAATTTTGCCAGTCCAAAAAAGAAGCAGTGTATTCATACCCGGGTGTCCCAAATGCAGGACTTTCAGATTTTGATGCTTCCTCTATAAGAGGCATAACAATTTTCTCCATTGAGTCCGTAAGAAGAGAAAATGTTGGTTCTACTATGAAATCAATGAAACCTGAAGGGGAATAAAAAAGAAAAAGTCAGATTTTACATTTTCACAGCTCTCATTGCTAAAAATAAATACTTGATATCAAACTGATGTTACTGTTTTAGTACTGTTTCAATATATTAGATATCATTCATTTAATCAAGGAAAAAATGCAAAACTAAACAGAAAAACAGCAACAAAAAAACAGCTAGTGAACCTGTGTGGATATATCTCGACAATAATTATAGCTTTTCATTTCTTTATCTTGTAAATTTTATGTACTGCAGAACACACCTACCATTTTGAAATGAATATTAATTATCAAAAAGAAGGGAAGTAAAGGATAGAACTCATACCAGCTCCTTTACCATACAGAGCTTCTTGCCAAGGAGTTAATACTTCAAAATGCTGTTTATTATTCTGTGGAGGTAAAGTGTTATCTCACAGTATGTAGGAGTGTTCTGTCAAATCAGTGAAGAGAACAAGTAATATCCCTAGGAGACAGCATTCATCCCACAGTTCTGAGATGTCAGCTCTGAACAATGTCTTTTACGTTTTAAAGTGCTTGTCAAGATATGGAATGACATAGTGAGAGAATGAAGCATTATTCTCTGCTGAGCACTTAAGAGGAAAAAAAAAAGTGAAAAAAAAAGCTAAAATGTGAACTAGCAATGGATTTCCAGGAGTCTTCATAAAGCACAAAGGTGAGCAGTGGTGCTTCAGCCTAGGATCCAGCTTCCTTTCTGCAGTAGGTATAATGCTTCAAATCCCACTCAAACAGAATAAAGGATGCTCTGAGTGACAAGATCAGACAGGATGACATGCTTCAATTCAAGGATAAGATACCTTAAACTGTAGATTCTCTGCAGGAGCCTCTGCACTCGCTCACACAAGTACAGCTGTTAATACATATGGCTTCATATAATATGCATCTAGGGTATGCCCTTCTAACTAGCCCCACTGATTTTTACCAATTTTTATTTCATTATTATTGCTGAAGGAAATGGAAGTAGAGATAGCTAAGACATGTATTTATGAAAATGGGAAAGAAGTTTGGCTATTGCTGACCAAAATGCAATTAGAATTGATGAAAATAGAATACAGTGGTCCTTGTCAGCCCAGGGAGGCTTGGCTATGCCATGCCAGGTCTCTCAGATGCAGTCCAGGTACCTGAGGTATGAATGAGCCTTAGTTGAGATGTATCTACAAAATGGTACCAGATTGTAGCGTAGACAGACTTTCAGGTTTCTGAACAAGAGCCAACCTGCTTGAGGCCATGGTCTACTTAACTGTAAAATGCAAACAGTATTAGATAGGCTCATGTCCAGTACTTTGGTAAGCACCTCTGCTGCCTAAAACCTCCCTGGCATCACGCATGGTCTCAATAACTTCATATTCTTTTGAGATGAGTGCATTGCTGCTTTAAGGGCAGTTCAGTGAACAAATAGCTACAAAGAAACACTTTCACTATGATGGGATTTTTAACATTTAAAGTTAAATGTTAAAGATTTTTAACATTTAAAATTCATAATTTCGGTGTAGGAAAGGTCCGCATGATACTGCAAGCTCATACACGGGGAAGAAAAAGGAAAACAGAACGTGCCATTACCGATTTGGGATTGAGCTACCAAAGTAGACTTGCGGTCACAGAGTGGGGAAAACTGAAGACCTAAAGCAGCCTCCTTGTCTCCCTGCAAACAACAATGTTTAATATTACAAGCACATACTTAATAGATGAAACGAGAGAAAACAAATCTAAATACTATTAGCATTTATTCAACAGGTTATTTTCTTCACTTATACTCCTAAACAAAAATAAGCCATGGGCAAAACCAAAAATTCACTATTTACTTTTAAAATTTCAGGAAAAGTAAAAGTCAAAATTATGGCTTACGTCTGACTGTTTTTATATAAAGGAGCTTACTGCATCTGCCAATGAGATTTAACACGTGTCAAGAAGCAAAAATATATATTTTATACAAAGCACTTCAACAGTCACCATTTAGTTCTGCTGATCCCAGATGTGATGGGATTGGAGACACTTAGACATGTATGCAGTTGTATTGAAAACACTAAGCGCTTCTTTCTATTGCAGTGGTTTATCCAATGTGCGACATTTTTGTTAATGGATTTATAAAGGTAAAGGGCACGATCTGACTTTAACTTATTCTCACTAGCAGGTATGGCTGTGCTGCTGAAGAAAGAAAAAAGAAGCACAGGCTCAACTTCGTTAGCAGCATGACTTGTAGAAATCTACTTCTGAAAATTTTTAACATCTAACAGCTAAAAAGGCTTCTTTTGTCATAACAGACTTGACAGACAGGGTAGTACTATCTCCACTTTACAGCATAGTAGGCCAACCAATTTGCAAAGCTCAGAAGGGCAATCCAGTGATGCAAAAAGAATGAAGAGAGAGATCTCCCAGAGGGGGATATAATTTGTGTTGCTGGATAAACCTGGCTGAGAAAAAAGTTGGTCTTTCAAGTAAAATGGTTCTACATGTTACATTAGTCATGCAGACTGCTGTTTCATGATCAACCAGCAGGAAAAGTTGAGAACTATGAAATCACTTCAGACGCAAAAACAGACTGTGTTTCATGTGAGATTTTTATCTCTATAGCCTCTATGTTTTACAACCAACTGTTCATATTAATTTGACTTCAGAACACAGAAGAATGCAGGTTCGCATGAGCAGTGCCAGTGGTATTTCCATGTAAATGCAGGAGGCAGATTGTGTTTCAACATAGAGTAGTTTTAACAATTTCAGTCATTGCTGAATATAGAATTTCTAAAGCAATACTAATTTTGCAATCTTCTCTTAACTAGATATTGAACAAGAAAAAATTCCACACTTGTGAGGAATACATTTGCTTTTTTTAGGTTTTCAGGTTGTTCTTTATCCAAATTATGAACTGCTTCAAAATTAAACCAATAACTAATAATTAAATATAATATAATAAATACTAAGTCTAGCATAAATTGTAATAATGGACACAGCATTGATACCTAAAATTGATAACTAGAATCTCAAGAGATTTAGAATCAAGATACGGAGTGAAATGAAATCTTTTCTCAGGTGAACTTTCACGCTTTTGGATTTATGCAGGCTGAGGGCACAAAGCTATCAGAGCTGTAACGCTTCCTTGAGTGACTTGATCTACATATTCCTTAAGTATTTGGAATGAGTGGGCAAGTAATCAAGTAACTTGTAACAAGTAACAAAGTAACTCAGATTTTCCTAGGCATTACAATACACTTGCCATAGTTGTTTTTAAAATCAAAAAGTTTGGTTTTTTCTCTGAAGTTAACACTGGAACATTTTAATTATTAGCTGCAGTTAACAAAGTATTTTTTCTAGGAGAATGTTTGCTTTTTGCTAGTGCTCACTACTTCGAAAGCTGCCTATTAAAACATTGTTTTCTTGGTGGTAGTTTCAAGCTCTGCTGCATTTTCCTGCAAAGCACTGGAAGTAGTTGAATTATTATTTTTAAATAAAAGAAGAGGAGGACTATATGTGTCATCTGGCTGACACAGATCTGGAAACCCCATAAATTTCCAGTGCATGTACTCAGATCAGCAGTGCAGAGGAGGCACAACCAAAATAAAGCATCTAGGAAGCAGAAGGCCTCCTGTGTCTGTGTCTGCACTGCAGTTCTGTATCTAGTTACTTCATCACACTTCGTAAGCGTTGGAACTACTCTATGCATGCTGTTGTTCTTAGTCATACCTATAAAGGAAGTCGATTCCTTACCTATTCCTCTACAGCCTACGAGCTGCACAGCTTTTCACATTTTACACTGTGCAGCAGCAAAAAAAAACATGTGGTGACTTGCTTCTAATACTAGATGGCTAGTCATATCTTCAGGCAGTTTATTTGTGATCCTGTTACTTCTTCTAATGAAAGGATCGGGGAACAGCTAAAACATGAGCTGATCCTAAGCACTCAAAGACCAGTGAGATACTGTTTATTGCTCATGCTACATCCACTTGACTGGATACATTGCCTCATTGTCCCATGGGCTCTCTCTAGTCCATCTCTCTGCATCTGAACTGTTTTTACAGTTTGTCGTTTCTGACCTTTTCAAGTAATATATATCTGTGGTAGTCTGCTCCTCCTTTTTCCTCTCAACTTCAAAATCCTCATTATTTTCATTTACAGAAATGGACACAAACTCATTATGCTACTCAGTATTTCCATATAATGTAGTCCACTCATTACGTAGATTAATGAATCAGCTCTCCACTTGGTCTCCCCAGTGCAAACCCCAGAGTCAAGGATGCCCTGATGCTCCCTGGTGAGAATTTGTATAAAGAAACACTGAACTCAGCAAGAACCTTCTAGGGCAGATCAGCTAAATCTCACAGCTTAATTTACTGACTTGTTTATTATCTGGTCTCCTTCTCCAGTGTGACCTATCTGATTGGAAAATGTCAATATATAGCATAATAATGACAATTTAGGTGAGTGAGAATTACATTGTTTCATTATCTCACAAGTACTCCTTTCAGAGATAATATTTTCCCTTTGAAGAAAAGCTTTTTTCACTTGCTGAGGAGAAGTCAGAAAATGTCAGCAGTGACATCAACACCTACTGGGCTTTCTCTTTGAATTCGGTATCTCACAGAAATGAAAAAACCTTCTCAAGACTGCACCTTCATTTTTGTTTAGGATATATGGCCACAGGGTTTACAGGATGATTCTCTCTGTTTTGGTATTAGGTTGTAATAAAAGCAAAGCCTTCATAACAATGTGGAACATGCATGGCAAGCATTGGCAAGAAATAGGAGGATTTTCTGAAATATGAAGTGGAGATGGCATTTAGCATTCTTCACTGAACACGAATTCTTCCTAATTTCAAGTCCCTCCTTCTATCCTATCAGTGCTCCATTTTAACTCAAAGCATACATAATTCTCTGTCTACAGAATGAAAACAGCTTGACAAGTTATATTATTATCAAAAGAAAAAAGTGCTACAACACTTAGAATCAGCTGAAATAGATATGAAGCTACAACAATTTCATCTTATTCACTCACATAAAAGTTGAGTTAATGTCAGTGGTATGTATTAAGAGTAAGAAATATATACTGCTGACTGTGTTCATCAATCACAGCCAACAATATCCTTGCTGGTAGACTTAGGAAAATACTGAATTGTGTAACATTTGCTTCTTGAAGTAGTATATTAAAAGATTTTTTAAATGGCACCTGTCGAAAAAATTCTTCCATCAGGGCCATGGTCCACCGGTAGTGCAGTTCCCAGGATTTTGCTGGATGGCTTATGTCTGCTGCATGTAGAATCAAAGACATGGCTTTGGCTTTGTCTACCCTGTCAATTCAAGGACATGCTCCAATTATCTCACAACAAAAACAACTATTTGAGTCTTTTCTTGTACATGAGCTCATTTAAAGACTAGAGATAATGAACAGAATGAAAATTACCTACCCCTCTGCCTGCTGTAGAGTATGCCGCATCGTTTTAATTTGTTGGAAATGACCCGACATATCTGTTGACAAGACCATCTCAATGACCAAGCTACGCAACTCCCTGAGAATAATTAAAAGCAAAATGTCTGGTTACAAACCATTTATTCTACGCATGGAATATTTCTTTAAGCAGTACTTGTTAACTTAAGACTTTCTTAGCAACACTGTGGTTTTTACTACTTTTTAAAAATCATTTAAATAAATAGTTAATAACTTGACCATTGAATCATAAAGAGATTCTGTGGAAGCAATGTACTTCAAAAAATGCTCTTTGTAATTTTTTATTTCACATTCTATTATTTCAGAGTCACACTATTTTTTAATTCTTCTTTTCTACTGTTTAAACTAAAACTGTCGCCCACTTACAGCCTTTCCTTATTTTTCAGCAGTGAAATATTTTACAGTCAGTCTCTGGGCTCACCACCACACAGGGGAATATATTGTTATCTTTTATTGTTGCCCTCATATCAGTGCATAGCAGGAACAACATGAAATACAGGAAGAAGATGGTGAAAACATTTAAAAGAGCAAGAAGTATTACATACAAAATGCTATTAACATTATGTTAACATACAAACATTATGTCAAACTATTCTTCAATACAAAAATGCCTTCATGTCTATTACAAGAGTTAAAGCAAGTTCAGAATGTATAGTTTATCTGTATGTAGGTGTTTTGCACTGAGATATGGGCTTGGCCATACTAAATGGATATGAAAATAGTAAAATGTGAATTATGTGAGACAGTGTACAAATTCCTACTGTTAATCTTACTTGTCAAGCAGCAATAATTGTGCCTTGAAGAAACCTCAGCATCTACAATACTGCCACAGCATACTGATTCAAAGAATTCTGTTTCCTTGATGTAGAGGGTTGTATGCAGGAGTCTACTTTATTCTCATGCTTTTAAAATGACCTACTGGGTATTATATGTAAGAGTGCCACTTACGTATGTAAATGGAGGAGAATTCACCACATTAAATCTTTGTTGATGCAGCATAACTCTTCATGAGCACAACGCTAATCTTAAAGGTCTCTAAGTATCGATTACAACAGTAAAATTCTACTTAAGTAACACCCATTGATTGTTAGTAGTGTATTCAATCTTTGAGTTGAGTAACAGTGCAGGTTTTTCAAAGGAACACATTTTAAAGAGATAGCTTGTTGGGTTTTTTTAGGGCTGAGTAGTTTTTATAATTAATTATCAAAACTGCTTCTGAATTAAATTAATTGCATATTTAAGTTAATACTCCTCATTGATTTTTGTGTATTTCTTCTTGACTTGCTTTGATGATAACTGGGTAAAGATTCAACCCTCTCACTTCTCAAATAATATGCAGCCATAACAACCTGAGTTTAGAAAATGTCTTACCTTATCTGATCTCATAATGAGAGACTAATTTATTTGTATCCCAACTGTTTCTCCTCCACACTGCTTTGAAACTGCACCTTTCAAACACAGCCAAACCCAGAAATAAAAAAAAAAAGAAGAAAAAAAGCCTAGCTGCATGAAAAGCGAGAGCTCAGCACTGTTAAGTGCTGTTTCTTTGTAAAACTTAATTGATGATAACTTCTATTCCTATGAAGATTTTCCTAGGAACTTTCCCTGTCTGAACTTTCTTCTAGTGGTAATTAGAAATAAGCCAGCCCCACCATGCAAGGCATGCAATCAACATGCTGCTTCTGGTAGATTCGCTCTGTCATGGCAGATGACAAACTCACATTCATGCTTCTGACACCTGAAGAAGGATCAGATAGTTTAGCACTGCCCTTCTCACACACTTCACAATATTTCAGGTCACTAAAACACTACATAATAGCAAAGGAGAGGCTCTCTGCCTACAGTCTGCAATTGCTTCCTGCCTGCACTCCCATTCTTATCAACAGAGAGACAGAAAATACAGAACTGGCAGGGAAACATTAAATACAGTTTTACTAGAGCCAAGAGAGCTCAGTCTACTAACACTGCACAAAAGATTACTCTTGGACACAGACTGTTCCCAGACTATCTCCATGGAGACTCTCAACTTCCATATCGAAGGAGAGAAAACACTGCACACTCCCTTAAGCATCAGGCAGCTGAAGGCATCATGACAAACACTGTTAGTGCTGCTAATACTACCACAGCAAAATGACACATAGGAACTGCCATCTTTATGTCTGCTATCAGAAGTATAGCAATTTCATTTATAGCACATAGCAAATTTTTGGAGCTCACAATTGGAAAAATACTGGTTTTGTATATACATATTTCTTAAGCAATTGGTCGTGTCCTTTGTTGTCATCCTTTCTTAGCTCTCCCATAGCCATATGACCTATGGATGTTTATAAACAAGTAGTAGATGAAATATGACGTGAAAAAACAACATGAATAATGCTGTGATAGACAAGAGACAAAGAGCGATACATTCGTTTCTTCAGAAAGTGGTCAACCAATAAACTGAATCCCATGTCACCAGGATTTGTTTGTGACAGTGACATTTAGTCAGTTGGACACAGTTGGATCATTGAACTAAAACCTTAGGAACAGGCTAGGAAGTAGGAAACTGAAGACCTAAGGCAATCTTGCAAGTTACAGCAATTCTGCTTTCCTCAAACAGAATAATGCCAGAGGAAGTTGTGAAAAAGAAGCTGTGCATTATGCATTGCACATAACGTACATTTTTTGTCCATCTTTTTATATAATCAGACAATATATCAATATATGCTTTATAACTGGAATGGTTTGAAACCTTAATATCGCCTGTTCACTTGTAATTGGTGACTTGTAATTGGCAGCATTTCCCTGCTCAGACCCAAGTCCTGTGCTTTAAGCTCAAATGAAGATGACTGTTTATTAGTTCATTTATCTTCTTGAAGTTAAGTTGTAGAAAATCAAGTGTAATACTATAAAGTCATTCCCAGTCATTTTGCTTCATCTTGCTGAAATAGAGAATTACAGTGTAAATAAGCAGAGGTGTTAATATAAAATAAAAAATAAAATCACTGTAAGTAAAAAAAAAACAGATCTGATGGTAATCAAGAAATTCATCAGTGTGAGGAAGTACATTAAAAAGTTGAGCAAATTATCATTTATATTTACTACCAACAACAGACTTTAAGAGTCTATCTAAGCAACAAACCGTGGAACTCTGTGTCCTACTGTAATTGCTTGAGCTTGTTAGGCAGGTTTCATACAGACTAGACTAAGCAGTCTTTACAGAGAAGAGAGTACTTCCAAAAAGTGAAAATAATCTATCATATTCCCTCCTTTATTCTGTTGCAGCATATCAGAGCGTTATATTACAAACATCACACACCTGGAAACCATAGGCTTCTCTTTCCACTGGGCAATACTTTCTATCATCCTATCACTCTTTTCTTCCTGATATAGCAAAAGGGAATGACTGGAATGAAGAGTACCAGCTGACATCCAACTACATATTGCTGCAGGTATTCCCAGGCTACACTCATTTGAGGAGGTCTCTAGTGACTATGAATCCAGGACTTTGGTCCAGTTTTGAACTGAAATTCAACTGCATCAGAAAGTCTAACTGCTTTCTACATGCTCTCTGGCAGGACAGTGTATGAAATGACACCAGCTGGGGGCACATATTCAAAGCAACTAGCTTAAAGAAGTGAAATTCATTACCTCTTCTACAAGTTATGATTTTAAAAGATGAAAAATCCCAGCTCCTGCTGGCTGCCTACTGGCACAATCACATCTCCACTCTCAACAGCTCTTAATAAGCATCACAGAGGCCCAAAAGAGTTCCCAGCAGAGAAAGACCCCTGCTCATGTTAGAATTATAGAATGTCTTTGGTTAGACAGGACCTTAAAGATCATATAGATTTAACCCTCCTGCTGTGGGCAGGGTTGCCAACTGCTAGATCGAGCACCAGATCGGGCTGCCCAGGGCCCCATCCATCCTGGCCTTGAATACCTCTAGGAACGGGGCATCAACAACCTCCCTGGGCAGACTGTTCCAGCACCTCACCACTCTCTCTGTGAAAAACTTCCCCCAACATCTAATCTAAATCTCCCTTCCGTCAGTTTTAAACCACTCTCTCTTGCCCTGTCACTACCTACCCCTGCAAAAAGCTGATTTCCCTTCTATTTATAATTTCCCTTTAAATACTGAAAGGCTGCAATGAGGTCTCCCTGAAGCCTTCTCTTCTCCAGACTGAACAAGCCCAGCTCCCTCAGCCTGTCTTTGTAGGAGAGGTGCTCCAGCCTTCTGATTATCCATTGTGCTGGTAATGAAGAACTGGGTTTATACGGGAATCATTGTTGAAGTTTATCAATTCCAGAGATCTTTCTCCAGAAGTAAATTTACAATGCAAACTTTATGATAACTAAATCAAATGAGTATCACCTGAGAATAAATCCTTTATGAGAATGAAAAATTTTGTTTCTCCTCTCATTATTTTACTAAATTAAAAAAGTAAATAAATAAACACTTTAATATTAAGCATAGTGGAGCATCTATTGAGAAATAATGAATTGAAAACCAAAAGGATCAGCAGACTTGCGTTCAATAAAATATTTATTTCGGAATGTTCTACTCATGTAAATGAGTAAAATCATGTAAATCTACCATGTAAACCAATCCTCTGCCTGTAAACATATCCCAAACCAAAATTTGTTCTGAAATTCCTGTATTTCTTTATAATTCTGCATTTTTGTGAAAACATAAATAAACAAATTACAGCTCTATAATTTACGGTGGCATCCTTTACAGTGGAAGACCTTCCTGGAAGCAAAACATCCCTATCTGGATTCAAAGTCCACCTACTTATTTTTAGGATATCTGAATGACAATAGCTACACATACAGAATCATACATAAGACTCAAATTTAAAGACTTGATGTGCGGATCTAGTAGAGATCTATGGTACACAAAGATAACGTGCTGCCTTAATAACTGAGAAAATCATAGATCTAACACTTGCTGATTTCATTCCTGATATTTGTGCATGGCAGTTACGTTCCTGATTCTTTCAACCACTCAAATTTTCTTCAGAAAGTACATTAAAATGAAGAAGAAGAAAAAAACATGTGCTTCTGAACCCTTACCTTATTATTTTTGGACTCTGCAGATAACTCATGTTTTAATGCTTAACAAGATGTGATTATGCAGTGCAGAAATCTGCACACAAAAATCTCAGAGGCAGTAGTGGTCACGCTGGCAGTAGAGCATGACTCTGCACCGTGGTTTTAAAATCCATCACTAGACAAAGGTAATCTATCTCAACAGGGGCAGTTCTGTGGTTTTCCTGAAAACTATCTCATCAGAGACACTGTCCACACAGTCCAACAACATGCCTCATAAAAGCACAACCTCACTTGGAAAATTATTTGGCAACTTCCAAACAGTACTTCTTTACACGACAGCAGCTTTCCCAAAGCTCTAAATATCCATTACTCCCGCCACAGCCAAAAGTTTCTTCCTGTAACTTGAACTCTTAAAATAGACTCTATAGAGAAAGCCTGGAGTTTTTCAGTATTTTTAAATACTAGAATTATGTTTGAGTATCTAAACACTACTTACCTCCAGTCATCTTTGGTTAAATTTGTCAGGATGTTCATCTCTTCCTCTTGCATTAGTCTATAAGCAGCACTTACATGATGGTTTTCAAGAACAGACCGATCATTGTACAATATTGCAACATCTGACCTAGTGTTAAAAAAAAAGGCACAATTTTCAATAACATCCCAATGATAGTGCTGGAGAAGGAAGAACATTGAGAACTACTGACTATATATATTTACATCTCTCCAACTATGTTTATTTTTTCTATCAAATAAATATCAAATCAAATTATGATAAAGCTTCCATACTATCTGCATAAAAATATCATCATTACCACTGTATATATTGCCCACGTGAAAGTAATCTTTTTAAATATATAACATTTTGTTTTTACTCTAAAGCTGCACCAATAATCTGTGAAGCAAACCTAGAGCTTCTTGACAGTATTGGATCACAGAGCAATAGAGATGCTCTTTGAGGCCACTTAGAAATACTCCTTGGCAACACAACCATTTAAAATGCAACTCATTCACAAGAGAGGAGATCTACAAATAGAATGGGTATTAAAAAATTACCACCTCTATTCTGAGAGAGACGTGCTTTGGCTCATGTCACTCGCAATCCAAAAGATCTGTAAACTTTAAAATGTTTTAAAACTTCAATTTCATAAGTTATAAACGGATCCCTTGTTCTCGCGGAAAAGCAGCCTCACTTTGAGCCTTGTAAGAAGGAAATGGAAGAAATGCAAAGCTGAATCTTGATTGCACTGAAATTCTTTCTAAAGCTTGACCCTTAAAGTTACCATACTCAACTGCATCCTTTCCTTCCTAATAAGAGCCTAACTTAAAATACCAAAATTACATATGGATTTTTCAGAAATTTGGATGCAATACAGATTTATCATACTTCAGAGTTCATTAATTCTTGGGGAACTTGTTTTCCCAAAACCCAACTTGACTTGTTAGGCAACCTTAGGTTTCCCCTCTCTGCTCCACTTCTCTTCTGTTGTTCCGGAATATCTCAGTTCAGTGAGCTGATCAATATGTACTGCAGGGGAGGTGGAATGACTTATCAGTGCAGCTTACTATGATCTTAATATGGTAAATTCAATTCCTTGTTCTGATGAACAATATGAAACGTTCAGTTTAACCACTCACATGTATGGTATGGCACTGGGGAAACTGAAAAAATAGGATTGGAAAGTTTACTTAAAAGGAACAAACAATATCCTACCTAAACAATGAGTAAGTTTATGTTCATAATCTTTCTAAAATCATGGGAAAATTAATGATTTACCAATCACACAAGGTTATGAAGAACACTTTGGCCCACATGGCTAATCATGCACAGTTTTAATCAGAAATGAAATTGGATATGATTATGCCAGCCTTTTCCTCAGTATCTTGCAGGCAAAAGAAACTGGAATAACACCCTGAGATGTCACATCAGGGCCAATTCAGTAAGAGCAAAGAATGAGCTTAGTTGGTCTCTACCGCAAAACAAATACCTGTTTGTATGTCCAAGTAAGAGTCAAACAGTGTAATTCTTTTTTTTTTACTTTTGCAATACTCCAGAGCAAAATATTAATGACAAAAATAGAAAAGTAGTGTAAACTTGGAACTACAAACTAGAGTTTATTTTTAGAAGGGCTGTGCAGAGGAGGAAAAGAATTATGCCTTTATTGCAGCTACAGATCTTGAATTTCTTCATTGTTTAAGGGCGCAACCCAGGGCATGAGTACGTCCTAGATTTAATTATACTTAACCCTTGGGCACTTTATCTGTACCTTATCTGTCAGAGTTTCTCATTCAGTAAGCTGAATATATTTTAAGGCATACATTAATGTTCTGGACCAGAGGCTATGACATACTATGCCTGAATCAGAATGCAGTGAGCCTAACTTTCAAAATGGATTACTTCATCATAGCTACTGCAGATGTTATCATGACATGTTATCATGACATGACATGGATCCTTGGTAGGGATTGCTAAAGCTGTGCTTGAAGGTTTTTCCCTGCTTACTCAATTCATAAAATCTGGAATGGTCTGGCTACTTTCTGGCAGCACCAGTAAGAGGTATGAAACAGCTTGGAATAATCAACAGCAAACTCCAGACTTGATGTTTCAAGGACAACTTTGCTTACCTTGTCTGAATATGAAAATTGTTTGTGGTCCCCGTATGTTCATAATCATGGATGGCAGCTGCAAAAATCATTGCTAAAATTTCCAGTTCTGTGAGCCAGTGCTAGTAAATGAAAAACAGATCTTAGTTATGTTTTCTATAGCTGCCTAATTCAGATTAACTGCATTACTGAAGTGTTCTGCATGACCTTCAGCTAAAGTAAACTTCATCATTTTTTGATTCCAGCTGACTATACAGCCACCATGCCTAAGTATTATACAATAAAATTACTCCTTCTGCTTATTTGAATGTCTCCAAGACTGAGTTAAAGCCTTTATGGACACTAGCAAAGTAAATACTGTCAGCCATAATATATAAGCAGTTTTTAAGAAAATTAAGTGGTGTACTTTACTGTTATTTGGGGTGGGAGGTGTCTAATATGCTAACCAGTATTTGACACTTGCTAAATTGTAGTAAATTCTTCTAAAGCTTTTTACAAAGCTAAGGCTGTAATTTCTTTTTTTTTCAGTGAAAAAATATGCAGTTTACAATACCTTTTTAGGTACAACTATAATACTGAATTTAGGTCATGGGAGATTTTTCTTTTCTAAATTATACTTTGTGCTGCCATATTGCTTTCAGAAATGTACAAATATGGTGCATAAAATTAGCATACAGTTACACAGAACAAAAGAAAACACAGTCTGTATAAAACAACACAAGCACAAGAATTTTCTGCACTTTTATACCTCTTGCTAATTCAAGATTGCTCTGTTGGTATAATCAGCTTTGTTATTTTCTCATTCAAGTTCTACTTTCTTTAATGGTAAATACTTAAAGCTTCAGGAGAAAATTTACTCCCCCCAAAAATAGGGGCAGAAGCATCAAGTGATAGTTAAGCCCACAGACATAGGACCGATTAAGTCAAATGACAGTCAGGTATTTCCATACATATTTCAGATTTTTTCCTGTGTAGAAGTAAGCTTCTGTGCTAAAAGATCTATGAACGATTTTCACCCAAATATATACATACATGCACTAGGGCTGCTCCAAAAGCAATGCCTCCTATTTTGTTATTTTGGCCTATGGCGTCAGAGGTAGATGTTGGCAGTATGGCTGTAGAGGATGAACCTTCCCACCAACATTCCATTACATTCTGTTGCCATGAGACAGACGGCAGCAGAGGAGCAGTCTGACAAAATGGTGTCTGAAGTGTGTACGAAGCAAAGGTGTGTCGCTGAATTCCTCCATGTGGAAAAAATGGCACCTATTGACCAATTCATCAATACTAGCTGAAAGTTTACAGAGACCAAACAGTGGATGTGAGCACAGTGAGGTGGTGGGTGGTGCACATCAGCAGTGGCAACAGTGATGTGAAAGACAAGCTACATTCCAGACAGGCATACACAGCTGTCACACCATGAAATGAAGAGCACTGCTGTCAGCTCATCAGCAGATTGACCGGTGGTGGTGACTATATTGAAAAAAAGTGTTTTGTAGCTGAGAGTTTGCTCCATCAAATAGCGCTATTTTGCTCTTTGTATCTGTTATAGTCTCCGTGGAAATGAATAGGAGGCATTACTTTTGGAGCGAATGCCATGCCCTACATGAGATGCACGCAGCGCCAGAAGTGGTATCAATTTTTCAATAAAGAAAGGAAACAGTCAAAATTCATAAGCTGTGTGAGAACAATAAAATAGGTCATTCAGAGACCAGCTAAGGCAGCCAAGGAACAACAAGTACTAGCTGTATAGATTTTAAAAGGTCACAACGGAGGAATGAGAATGTACTGTAAGCAGTTCTAAAAATGGAAACATTGACCTTCATAGTATTGTCTGTCGTTAGAAACTAGGCCATGACTCGTCCTGACTTTCACGATGTTTTCAACATACCAAATAGAACAGAAATCCAGAAATTATGAGCAACTAAAGCCAAATACAAACTTTTTCTTTCAGATGCTTTTTTAAGCCTCAACTTTTTTAGCAACCAAAATAGTTGCTAGATAATTCATTTACAAGTCGAGAGAGCTTCTTACAAACAATATCTGTAGACTATACAGAATTTTCATACTGTGCTCATGAAAGTAAGTATTCTGGACACTGCAGCAATATCGTCAAAATTCAGATTAGTGTCAAAATCAGAGAAATTGAGAACTATTTAGCTAAGGGATTTCTAAGGAAGAGGAGGAAGCTTTCTCTCTAAAAGCCAAGTTAATTTATTTCGATAGGAGTGTGCAATGCAGGTTCCGGTATCCAGAGGTCTGGCAGACAGCAAGGAGCTGGAACCTACTTCCCTGCTAGCTGATATTGTGCCATGAGAGTGTAACTACTGTTGGAAAAAAAAAACAAACAAAAAACAAAAAAATCTTGAGAGAGCTCTCTACTGAGAGATGCTTTGCAGTACTATAAATTGCTTATAAATCGATGCACCTTAACTTTTCATGAACTCTGGTTCTAACTATTTCTTTAAACAAGGCTGGATTAAAAAATGAGTAAAGCTGTGAGTCTCACAATACACTGGTTGATAGCAAAGACATTTTTTCTTTTCATTTGAGCAATACAGGTACGTGGGAGGAGAAAAGAGATGGTGGGAAGATGATCGATGACTCAAAAGTTCTTCACAAGATGTATTTCCTGAGACTTGGATTCTTAAATTTGTAGAGATGAAGATCTCATAAATGCTAGCTTGAGCTATATATTTCAGTTGTATCATCTGGGGTTTAATCTCTTGGAGAAGTTAATAGATTGTCTGCCATCTGTGATATCTAACTTCCTAGCACATCTGAAGTGATCTGAAGTGGCTGAAACTCATTTCTTAAGATAGACAGGCAACGTCTTCCATAAAATATGATGATCATTCTATTTCTTTAAACAAGACACTGAAAATATATCATTCTTCACCATAATCTTTCTAAAAGCTTTCAAACCAAAAGCTATGAACAGTCAAACTTTTGCCAAATGCTGAAATCTGACTGTATTCCAAGTGCCAAACAGATATACGTATGACCTCCACAATAGGAATTACAAAAAAGATTTTCAAACCTCAGCTTCTTCTAACATTTGCTTCACTGCGTCTTTCAGAAGTGAATAAGCAAGACAGCCATTCTTTGCTGTCAGAATCAGCTCCTTAAGGTACAGTAAAAGCACAAGAATTTCAAACCAAATGTCAGTCTGCAAAACTCCGAGGAATCTGATATACAATTGTATCAAATCGCTTCCTGTCCAAGGAATTGATAGACGATACAGCAGAATTACAATTAGTATTACAAAGGACACACTCCGAAAACAATTAGATCAAGAAGCCAACTTCTTGGTTCAGGAGGGCTAAAATTAATCAGGCAACAGCAAAGAATGAAAGAAAAAAAAAGTTAAGCAGAACATTTGTGCATATAGTGATGAATTCTCAGACTGCAAATGACATTTGGACAGAAATACACTGCAAGCTGCGGAATCACTAGGCCTCCTTTCAAACACTGATTTCTATAAATGTTTCTTCTGCCTGGCAAACTGCATCTGTTTGAAGGCACTCTTGACTAAGTGGTGTCCTAGTTAGGTAACTTTCCAAGAACTTTCCAGTATCATAATTCAGCAATTCAAAAGCGAATATTTAAAAAGTGGCCTAATTTTACAGGAATATTTTGCACAGATATTGCAAGATTAATGAGCTTCTACAGCAAAGTGACAGCACTGAAGTTTATGCTTCTCTGAAAATAGTTGTCCAAATCACATTGAAGTGCAGTTACAATGTTAAATTGCCTACATTGTACCACTTGAGTTGCTGAGGCCTTTCTCAATCTCATGTGTATCTGGTGGAACAGCAGATACTCAAATACAAAGCAGATTCTTTGATTCGGTGTTCAGAGCCTTCTGAAGTGCGTTGCAAACTTGTTTAATCAATGGCTAATCATTCCAAATTAACTAGTATAACTCACAAAGTTCAAAGTTTGTTCTGGCACCATGAAGGAAATCTGGAATGCTATTGTCTTTTTTGAAGGGAGAAAGAGCACAGCTGCAGTAAGCCAAAAGAATGTTTATAATTTTAATGTTTGTAATCTGTAATACAACAAAGGGATTTTTCTCCCTGTTGAACTTCTTATCCTGCACCAGAGACATGCTTCACATGACTTAATGCTTGCTCTGAGCCACGATGCATTCAAGCTTTTTCTTTTATTAAAATGTTTCTTTAATAAGTGAACATCTAATACAACAGCTTTGGGTTGGAGTTAAGAGAGTTGCCTAACCCATTTTTCAGGCTTCTATGGAAGTCCTTTCTCAAGAAAATATCTCAGTGTCAAAGGGAATACTGGCTGGTGAAGATTCCAAACATCACTCCACAAGCAGTATTTGCCTTAAAATGTGGCTTGAAAATCTCCATGTTTAGAAGTAAAAAGCTTCCTTCAAACTACAGAATTAATTACTGCAATGCCTAGAGACTTGTTCTCTCCTGAAGCCAAAGCTTTCAGGTAGAAAAGGCTTAGCATAGGTAAATAACTGTCATTTATTGTCTATATGTTGAAGTACAAACATTTACAGTCGGCCTAAAAATTTTCCTTTCCCAAAGTCTCATGGATTCATTTCAAGGCTCTACAAACAGAAATCAGACACTATCACTTTCCACACGTCTGGCATTTTGTAAATTTAAAAAAAAAAAAAAAAAAAAAAGGTGCATTCATACTGAAGACAAATCATCAAAAGCCCATTGACAGAAATGTCCATTTACTTCCAGTCAGTACTCACTTCTGTCTCGCAACCTGATAGTGAGGAGACTCTCACAGCTGCTATTAAATCAAACATGAGTAAACAAGAGTAAAACTGTTTGCACAGGCTCACTTTAGATCCCAAAGTTAACACAAAAGAATATTGGGATATTGCAAAAGCGCAAGGCAAATGCAATTTCCTGCCTATTGAAGGCATATGTGGCACACAATGGCAGTCCTAAAGATGGTTATATACCAAAAGAAAAAGCAGCTCAGAGTGTTCCAGTAAACCTGAACTGAATCAGTATTTCTTTCAATGGCCAAGATCTCAGCAGATACTGAAGTTTCCTTGTCTGATCACGCCTCCCAGGCTCCAATGTGGAAGTGAAAAATTCTCACCTACCCACTACTGCAAATATCTCTTCTAATATGATATGCAATGCCAAAGCTCAGCCAATGAAAAGCAAAAAGGGTTTAACAAGGATTTTTTTTTCCCCCTTTTTCTCCTCAACATCAAGCTGGAAGAATTGTTAAACAGAAGACTGGAATCTCTCTGAATAATTTTCAAGGAGCTTTTTGCTGAAGCCACGCATACACAGCTATCCAAAACATCAGAGAATCTGCAAAAAGAAGTAAATTGAACTTTGTAGTATTTCTTACCATGATACCAGTATGAATCATTATGTAATGCACAGTTTGAGTAACATCAGCTGCATGGATCAAGTTGTGATATGGATTTTTGTATTTGCTGTAACCAACCTCAAGAGTTTCAGCAAATGTAATAAGATTGGGAACAGGGATCTGGGAAGGAAGTAAAAATCAAAATAAATGCTTTTTCCTGCAACAACAGCAAAGTTAATCATGCAATAAATGAACCACAAATAAGTACATCACAAAATTTTTGTTATGAACAGAAGAATTTAAAATGTAAAGGTCTAAAATCTAACATGCATCTGGAAGTTTTCACCCAATTTTTGTAGACGTTACATCCTGCAACATACACCATGCACAGCATGCAGTCAGTGTACAAGAGGCTGCAGAACTATTGACTAAATAGATGTGGAGAGGTTTCTTCCTGTATGCAGATTGATCCTATAAGAAAGCTACAACTAACAGGAATCTAAAAATAGGAAAACTTGTTTTTCTTGATCAGCTTTACATTGAGACAGTATTTTCTTGAACCTGGCAGTCTCCATTCCCTGTCTCCTACTTCCTCTAAGCAATGTATAACATACAGGTACTATTTAGACCCACTTTTTCCCATGTAATGAATTGATATTTTCCTTAAAATTTCTTTTTCTTTACATAAAAGTCCTGCAAGATAAACTGTCAGATTGAGAATGGGCTTAATTCCACTAAGCCAATAACCCTGCGCATTTTTTTCAATCTGTGCTGTTAATGGTGGTCCTGGTAGGGCTCTGACATCATCCAGACCCTCCCAGGAAAAGCTGAGTTCGAGTTACTGTATAAGTCAAATTACTGAAATCAACTTCAAAATGAGCAGACTCTTCCAATGGAGCTTGAAGTTTGGCAGTGAGAGATTTTGAGCTGTATTGAAACTTCAGTAATTTTATAATAATAAATTTGGTACTTCAGATTTTATCTCAGCTTTTCAAAGTTGGTTAGAAATACTCCATATTGTATCACAACACCCTACAAATACCACCTAGAAGCAGCCTTTTCTATATATTACTAAAGTTGCTTTCAGTTGGGACTTTCAGCTAAACTCCTCCAGTTTTGGCCAACACAAAATGAACTGTATTATGAAAACAGTACTCAGGATTAAGTACAGCTTCTACCTTATTAGGAAACTTTTAAAATCTGCCTATTTAATCCGTTTAATGCTTACAGCATTTAACTGCTCAAGAGCAATGTCCCATCCCAAATTGCCTTGACATGGGCTATGTAGCATTCAGGTCTTCATCTGCAGAAATATCTGCAGGCTCTGGGTAGAGTTTCATACAGCGGAACTACTGACATATTGTTATGTTCAACTTGCCATCTTCTATGAAGTTCTGCACTGCACTGCACAAAAAAAATAATCTCAAACCCATCCTGGCTTTCTTACATTTTAAATTTGACATACTTATTTTTGCATGCATATTTTTATCTGTGGATGGCTTCTGACCTTGAAACGGTTCAAAAGGTCATATCGGGTGAACAGCTCGTACATCATAAATTTCAGACTGTGTTCTCCACTTGCTTCATTTAGGGCAAATACGTCAAAAGACCATTTATCAACATCCTGTAAGTGTGCAGAAAAGAAAAAGAACACCATAAAGTTTCAGTTTGTTTAAGTAGCTTTCCAGCTAATCACTGGAAAACATATTTTGTTTTCTTAGGGGAGAAGAAAGGGAAAAAAATCAATGTCTTGGGCTTTTTGTTGTTGGTTTTTTTGTGGTTTTTTTTTTTCTTTTTTTTTTCCAATTCTTTCAAACTCTTTTTGTAGATAATATCTCAGTGAATATTTATTAATAAAAATATTAATATATTAATAAATATAATAATATTAATAAATATTAATAAAATACTTGTAACATGTCCTATGCAACTTTGTATGCTTCAAATCAAAGGCCTTAATCCTTCAAATTTAACGTTTGGTGTAAAATTTTTCTGTAAAGCTCGATTAAGCTAATGTGAATAACTATCCTTCAAATAGGCTTCTGTGCAATGTTATTAATGCTACAGCCATACAGAGATTTGTAAATAACACAATAATGCTGTGCTCTCAGGAGAAAAGGTGAAGCTCTACATTCTTTCTCAGGGTATATTATTCTTTATTGCATATGTAGCCATAGTAATTTTACTATGATAAGAGACTGACTTTTAAGTAAACTATAGTGTTGCCTTAAATTCACAGAAAAAGTGCCATTGTTCCATAAGCCACAATTTCTTTCATTATCTCTCTCCCAATATGACTTTCTTTTCTTTCCTAAAAAGAAAACAAATGCTGCTGCCTGAGATACTGATTACCATACTGGTGGGAGCTGACACAATCACAACTGTCACATTTTTATTAAAATTTCTATACCAGTTTTATACTCTTGCTCTAGTAACACCTAAATGAAATCACAACAAAACAGTAAAACAAAAACCAGAATCATATGCTATTTTTGAATTTTGAACTATTAAATTGCTCTGTTCTGTGTGTTCAGTTCTGCAGTACTAAATGTGTCTAGGGTATATTCAGTAGAAAAAATTATTTTACCCTAAAATTCACTAGAAATAAGTACTAATCCATTCCCATTCAAATTTCACAATTAAAGTTATTTCACCTTAAATGTTACAATCACTTCTGCTGGGTAAGCCAAACCAACCATGCTAGAAGTTCTCCGGTACATCCTAAAAGAACAAATAAAATATTCAGTAAGAGTATTTCATTAAAAAGTATAACAATTTCTTGTTTTGTTTAGTCTTCTTTCATGATCTCTGAAAATAATACTAGGCTACTTGAGGGTCTGGTCTCAAAGATGACATAAGCATTTTTATGAACTTAAGAGACAAGCCCCTTTGATGGTGGATTACTGTTGTATGTTTCTGTAATATTTGGCACACATCTTCATGTAGAAGATTCCAAGCTTTAAAATCCATTCTCAGAATTTTCCAAAGTCCAGGAGATTTCATTACAAATGTAGAGATTTTATCTGGGTTTCTGTATAGAAACATACACAGATACATAATTTGAATCCTAAAACCTGTCTTAAAGAATTGATACAGGTTCATCCCACCTTTTACAATAGACTCTGTGGTTAAATGTAATACTTGCCACGGTAGGAAAACAGAACTCTCACCTTTCTACAAAAATCCCAGCCTGTACAGCATGCACAATGCTTCGAAATTTGGGCTTTTCTTCAGGTCTCCTCTTCACTATTCCCATTTCCCTTGTGAATGTAGAAGCTAACCAGTCTCGCACTTCCAGCGGGACCGAATCCGACTGGATGTCCGAGAGTTCATCCTCAGTGTCCAGAAGCCTCCTACAAAAAAGATAATAAAAGTTAAGAAAACATTATGGACAGAAGCAAAAGGAGAATGGACACACAAACAGCTCTCAAAACTTCATTTAATAGAAGCAAATGTTGTCTGTAGAATTAACTCAGTGCATTATCAAAGGTCCTCTCTGATAGACACACCAAGGCCTCGAGGAAGGCATGCACAGCATGTGGCTTCCCTCCTTCCCCTGTTCAAATCCTAGAATGTATAAGATGCTCAAAAAAATATTCAGGGAAAGGTAAGTAAAAAGTTTTCCACAAAGATGTCACAGCTTTGGTGGACTGAAATGTAACAGTGAGTTATAAAATCCTTCCATATAAAAGAGTGACTGACATGAACACCTAGAAAAAGAGGTACAACAAATAACACCAGTGATCAATCTAAACCATCCTCCAAAATGATACAAAAATTTACATGCAAAATAAATTGTACTATGTAACACCCCTACAGTGAATGGGTTTCGATGAGCATCCAGTATATGTGTTCACTGCATTATTCCATTGCTATAAAAGCATTAATGAGAATGAATTTCTCCTGTTTTGAGATCAGTACTCCTATTGAAGGGTTGGTAACAAAATCATAACAATATTATTAAAAAACTGGACTACAAGTCCCTGGTCAAGATCTTAAATCATTTAAATGGTTAGAAAAGCTATGTATACCTAATGCAGGATAAAAAATCTTTAAAAGGAACTTCACTTAAACAGAACCGGAGATCGATTTAGTTAGAAGAAACTACAATATTCTCCTAAAACAGAGTCAACATTCAACAGTCATATTCTACAATTCTACAGATCTACCAGAAGTAGAATCACTTTTTTCTTGCTATTATTCACCCACATCACTCAGTCTTCTGGGGTTTTTCCAGAAATAAATCACCTATTTATTCTCATAATAAGTTTTCCTTCATCAATTGTTCAAGAAACTCCAGAGGCAGGATGATTTGAACATATGCAATGCATGCCAACCTTTTAAAACATTTCATTAAAACTAGTACTAATTGAATTCCAGACATGATCTGATGACATATATTTATTTCTCTGGAGATGTCTTTCTGAAACTGTGCACGTCTCCATGAATTGGACACAAAGCAATTGCGGACAAAGTATTTTTGATTGTGAATTGCTTATATATAACTCCTGATTCTTCCTCCTACTTGTGCACTCTTTCTTCATATATTCATATCTCTTCATCACTGTTTTGAAATCCTTAGCCTAATCTAGGTCTTCTATGTCTTCTATGGCAAATAGAGGAACTGAACAAAAACACAGATGATGAGGGAAGCCCTGTACACTTCAAAGGAACCCACACATAAATCTAATATTACCTGAGGGATTAGAGGGTGATGTTCAGTAGAAAAAATGATGCAAGACACGTTACATAAATTATTTGAGAACACTGGAGTTTATCGTGGATTTGTGCTCATCTGCCCTATTCTCAATTTCAACAGCTCATCTGGTTGGCAGGACATTTTGTGGGACTTCTCCACCAGGACTTAAAAAAAAAAAGAAATCCATAAAGTTCTCCCCACAACAACACTGCTTTCTGAAAGAACAGTGGTTCCTATTTTTTAGGGGTACAAAATTGTCAGATTACAAACACAGAACACAAGAGGAACAGAATAGACAAGGATGATGCAGTTTTTCTGGCAGTGGGGAACTGGTCAGAAGTGGGTAATTTAATCTGGAGGAGGAGAAGGATTTTTGTGCAGAAGAAAGGATTTGGGCAAATCATCTTGCAAACCTGAACCAGGGCTGAGACTGCCAAGAGGTCAAAAGCTATGGACTGATTTTATTTCCCAAATTAAAAACTGTTATAGTCCACTGAAATCTCTACTAGAACAACATCATTCTTAAATATCCTGTGTGCTTCATAAATATGAAGTATACATTAAATATCCTGCACAGATCGTTCTAAAAATTTTTTTTTCAGGATTGGCATTTGATGTAGTATAACCACGAATACGCCTTATAATCTCTAAAACATTTTTCTAACTATTCAAAAGACAAGAAATTATTCCAGCAATAAAAAGACCATTGGCAGAGTCTGCTACAGGAATAATCCACATCTTCTGCGTAGCACAAAGAACACTACACTATTTGCTGTAGTCTGGTGTAGATGTGAATTTGGTACCACATCCCCAATCAGTGCAATCTGAATTAAGGCTAGCAAGACACACTTCTTGTTTCTAGTTTCTCTAATTTTTTTAACATTCATTTGTAAATCAGGAGGATTATTCAGTCTGTATATGATAATGAAAGGAATTACTTTAAGAAGACTGAACAGAGAAATCAGAATTTGAAGAAAGTGTTTATTTAATCAAGATTTTTTTGTTTGGTTTCTTGAACACTCCAGATTTTTTTCATGACACCAATCCTTCGTAATGAGAGGTGACTGAGCTATGTTTTATGAGAGTGACAGGTTAAGTGCCTCTGGTTCCTACTCCGGTAAGGAAGAAAGGCAATTGTAACAAAGAATGATGTTGTAAACACAGTCCTTTGTACCAGCTCCTACAGATCCCTGGGATTAGAACACATTCGACATATACCTCAATCACTTCTCAATGATAATTACTTTCTTTCAGAAGCTTGAATGAAACAGCATTTGAGGAGAGTAAGCATGGAGTGGTAATTGCCTATTTTCTGCAAGTCTGTACATCTTCCTGACCTTTTGAATAATACAGTTCACATAGGCAAAAAATTATTCATGGCATGTGCATCGCTAGAAACGGCCTATGAACAAATTCACTAATGACTGTCATTATTCAGTAATTGGAGGGGCAGGACTCATATACGGGTCTACACAAAGTAGAAAAAAAGGATGATTAGGTAGATCTATAATTTGATGGTAATTTTGTTCAGGAAAGAAACAAATTAAGATATATATTGCAGTATATAAACTACACTTAATTATCACAAATCGTTCAATATTGACCAATATTGAACTGATTTCTTGGTTTGTTATTTTTGTCTACTTATGTCCACTCACTTTGACTAAAAAAGAAACTATGAGTATCTATAAGAAATCCATTATATTTCCACAGGTGTGGATAGCATACATATTCCATTTTGCAGATTGTGCAAAATATATATTCAATTCTTCATCTTTTATTTACTGATACGAAAACACTTTGAGTGTTGATTGATGTGCATACAATGTATGTGTTTCACAAATGTCTGCCTTGTGACATAAGAACTTCGTATTGTTCTATCAGTATTTTTACTGACTTGCAAAATGCACACATAAATTTTACTAAAAGTAAAACAAAGAACTTTCAGCAAAAGTATCAGAAATAACAGATATTAACAAGAAGTACTAACAAGAAGTATTTCATCACTTTATATAAGTAGCAAAAATTAGCTTCTACATACATCTAGGATGAGGTTTTGATTTTGATGCTTTTTTTTTTTTTTTTTTTTTTTTTGACACAGATATTGGTTTTGTATTGAAGCATTTTGAATTCTAAGCATGTAAACCAGTGAAGTGAACATACCAAGATGATCAAGCCCATTTTCCTACACATCTGTGCCTCTTACTGTCACTTCCGTTGATCGAAACAGAAACAAAGACTGGCTCTTCCAGAAAGCTTATGATCATATTGCTTCTGTGCAACCACAGAAGACAGGACAGCCTTGCTCTGTCCCAAACTGCCATTTGCAGCAGTTTAGGATGCAAACTTGTCTATTGCAAACTTGTTGCGAACTTACTGACAAACTTGTGATGGCAAACGCCACCTGAAAGGAAGCCTAAGAGAAGTTCTGGAGGGCTTTGAGACTTCAATACTTGGAAGCTTCTAGACAAGCACTCTCACAGACTGAGGACCTCCCTGTCGGCTGGACAATCACTGGAACCTAGACTGGTCATCTCTTGTCTGTCTGTCTCTCATTCTGTCCCTCTCTCCACACTCCACCCTCCATCTCTCTCCTTTCTTTTTCCCTCGTAAAGTTGGTAGGTAATACAAGGTTTATTCGAATTTCTTATAAAATCACATGGTTTAGCTGCACAGCTTAGACAGATATAGTTGTAAGAGTGCTGATGCTTTTAAGATAATTGTAGTACAGAGATTCTCATTAAAACTGATGACTGTGTTTGGACCTTGAGTATCGTTTTACCTTAACCTAACAAGGGGGATTTGCAAATCTGGTCACCGCACACTCTTTACAGGTGGCTCGTGACAATGAAGAAAAATGCTCTAACAAAATGTGTGCCACGGAAAGTACTTTTTCTTCAACATAAAGTCAGGATTTCAGGGTTACGTACACTTATTTTGCCCATATATCATTAGCCTATTAAGTAGATGCAATATGTGGAAGAGAGATGTGTGGGAAGAAGAGGGGGAGGCTTAGGTTATTTAATTCTATTCATTCCATGAGTGGAGCTCCCATTGACAGTTGTGGGAATATGTAAGATATGGCCCATGGCATTTCAGCTTAGCAGTCAATTAACACTGCAGCCATAGTAACTAATAACCTGATTTTCTTGTCATAGTACTGTGTTTTTCTATCAAAAGTAATTCTTCAAAATTTAAGCGGTGATCATTTCTAGCTCTTTTTTCATTTAATCAGAATTTTAAATATAGTAATGGGCGAGTCAGAAGTATATTTCTTTTCCCTTAGGAATATATCAAATGTACCATGGAGGAAAAGATGGAAAAGCAAATGAAAAAAAGAAAAATTAGATAATAGCTGAGGAGGAAAAAAAAACACACCAGTGCCAATCAGTCATTTTACTTAACTGAGATGGTGAAAGATTTCAAAGAACACAGATGAGCATTATGTGATCCAGGGAAAGGATGAGAGAAGGAAGTATTAGCTCTTCACTGCTTAGCTAATTAATCAAGCTAATGACCTAGCCAGTAAATTGACCAAACTCCTCTTCTAGGTCTGGAAACAGAAGGCAAAGAATTTATAGCCCAAATAGACGATTTACATTTTTCCTAATTATTTGTGTCTCACTATATTCATGAATGAGCATGAATCAATAT